GGAAAGCACCCCCCCCGGGAGAGACAGACTGGCAGGGACCCAGTGAGAGGTGGCAGGCAAATCCTGACTCTACCCGAGGCCCAGGGGACCCCAAGGCCCTTCTGGCCAGGAGTCACAAGACAGGAAGACACAACCCCACCCCCCTTCTCCACCATCAGTTTTCATCCTGTCCCCTGCTTGAGCTGGACAGGACTGGACACTTGCCGTGAAGGCTGGAGCTGACTTCTGGCAGGGCCACTTGAATACGGTTTGCAGGGACTTTCCAGGGAAGGGTATGGGCCTGGACCTGGCTTGCGGCTTGAGCTATCCTTGACCCACCTCAGGAAGTATATCCGCCTGGGCAGAGCCCCAGACAGGAAGCAGCTGAAGCATGCAGGGTCGGATCCTGTCTTAGCCAGGCCTGTAAGTCAGTTCCCAACTCACCCAGCTCATGAGGGTTCCCCTCTGCAGCACAACGTCGAGGGTCTGGAGATCCCTCACCATCTTCTCCTGAGCCCAGGAAATCAAACTCATTGATGGCATCTTCTGAGTCATCTTCCTCATCCTCACCCTCCATTTCAGGGACCAGGGCCTTGGATGGGAGCTAGGGTGGGGAAACAAGTGGGGGAAGGAATGGGGTCCAGAGGTCAACTCCAGCTGGTCCCTGGGAAAAGGCAAGCCACCTGCTCACTTCCCGAAGCCTAGATCTGGAAACTGCTGTGGGACCTCCTCCACCACAGCACTGGGCCCTCTCCTCTCTCCTCACAGCTTTGCTGAGCCCCTCCCCAGCACATGGCTCTCAAGAAGTCAGACAACACAAGCCCTGGAGGTGTTCAGAGACACGCAATGGTGGTGGTGGTGGTGATGATGAACAGAACCTTCTATTTTCACTCTGGGCATAAAACTAACAGTGGTAACACACACTTGTCACTCAGCTGTGTGCTTAGCAAGAGCTAGTGACTCACAGAAGGCACTTACAGACATGGCTGCACTCTACCCCACAGCCCTGTGAGCAGTAACCCAAGCTACTACCCTTCTTCCCATCCTGTATGTGTGAGAACAAGCTAGACAGATGAAGCCAATTGCCTCAGGTGCCCAAATTCAAACTGGGCCCCAAAATGGGCAGCACCAACAGACCGTGGTGCCTCAGGACACAGCTGACTCCCAAGGTGGTCATGCAGGGGTTCTGAATCTAGAAATAACAACTTTCAGGCATCCACACAAGTGAGGGACAAGAACATGTGGAGCGCACAGGCCTTTTGTACACAACAGTCAAGGGGAGGATGGGTATGACCGCTCATGCCTGAACTAGTACTCAGGAGGCTGAGGCAGAAGGATGGCCAAGAGTTCTGGGCTAGCCTCAGTCAGTGTGAAGCTCTGTCTCCAAAGTGAACAAATGGGCTGGGATAAGCGTGGGCACAGAGTGCTTGCCTGGCGTGTGTGAGGCCCTTGAGTTTGGGCATCAGAACCACAGGACACAAAAGCAGAGTTAAAGTGAAGAATCATTTCTGGTTTGAGGGCTGGTTCCAGGAGATACCCAAATAATACCCAAAGCATCACCCAGACTCAGAAGAAAAGTCCTGAGAGGCTGGGGAGGCGGG